ATTTGTATTGTTGTTCAGCGTCCGTGTGAATGCGTGGAATCCTCACTGATGCTGGGATTATTGATCTTCGGTACAGTTCTGTTCTGGCAAAAAATTAACATGTTTAGATCTAGTGTAGAAGTTTCTCGAAAGACATTGCGAGAGACTGCCATGCAAAGGATGATTGCCATTTTCCATGACGTTCTTACCCACGCGACATCACTAAGCTAGCCATATGCCTCAATACATCATTGTGTGAAGGACCACTTATTCTAGAGATTTGTTTCAGTGATCGCCTTCGCATAATGAAGTCGCATGTTAACAGACCTGGAAGGATGATCTACCGATGTTTATGTAGGTAGTGGTATAATGCACTCAGAAACGGGTTTCTTGAGAAGGTTTAGCCTCGAGAAGGTTCCTCAGACGCTTTGCATAAAACAAAGCGCTACAACGCCAGGTTGCAGGAAACTGAACATGTGCATGCCAGTTGAGGTCAGATTACTGAATGACACCCAATTATTTCACAGTTTGACATGAGATGACTGGGCTGCTGTTGACATGCAGAGGATGTGATGATAGATCCAGAAGAGTTGAATTCTCCGTATTTCGCCTCGTTCAAATCCATTCCTCAGTTTTAAATGCGTTTAATGGGAGACCGTTCACGATGCCATTCACGTAACTTCCCTTGTCATCCGTTGATCCCGATATAGCAGTGTCATAGGCATATGTGATGCATTTGAGAGGTGTTGAAAAGCAGAGTCAACGGAAAGGAACCCTGAACTACCCCAAGACTGTTCTGTAGGGGACTGGACTACCCGTTCCTGCAGATCTTGACGAACCGTCGGCGGCGAGAAAAATAGCCAACCATCGAACGACTGATGGATTAATGGCTAGCTTGAGTGGCTTCTGAAGTATTTAATCGAGCAGAACAACGTTGAAAGCAGAACTGAGGTCATGAAATAACGACCTCACTATTCGTTTGCATTTATCAAGTTCTTCTGCAGTTTGATCTTTTAGACAAGCAATCGCATTATTGGTTAATCATCTTCGTTGGTAGTTGAAGTGATAAGGGCCGAGCATGTCAATTACAGACTGCCCTATAATTGGCAATACTAGCTGTTCCAGACATTTGAGGAGTGCCGATGTTATGCTATGAGGCGACAACCGTAGTATCTTTCGCTTTAGTTTCGTTTTTTGGCATTGGAACAATCGTCGGAAATCAGCAACTGGCGTAAACAACAATTAAATGTGTGCCAGAATGGCGTACAGCTATATCGAGCAGAGTTTTAACACAAACGGACTGGTCTTGTCAGGATCTGATGAGAGACGTTTGAGCGAAGGCGATCGAAACAAGAGCGAATATCAGCTGCCATAAATCGCACCGATCGATGTCTAGCAGCCACATCCAAAGCAAAGAATTCACTACATACCGATTGATCAGTTTCGACGCGTAGTCAATGCATTCATCAGGATTTGTTTGTGATATCGACGTTGAGTTCGCTCTGCTGCAGAGGATTTTCATATTTCTGCTTGGGTTTTTTTTCTCTTCTTCAGTGAAGCAGGCCTGAGCGTTGAGCTCTTTTAACCGAAAAATCTCTTGCTTGATGCTGCCAGAAAGCAAGCGATTAAGCTGCCCTTCACCATTCCTATAAGCTCGCTCCTTCCGGGACGGAGGCATTGTAACGATGCGAGTGACGAGTGTTATCTGCACCGGACAGAAGGCATCGAGGCCATCATTTATTGCAGTAGTGATCCTTCGTGCGGCATTGTTTAAATCTAGTTGACTCTAATCAAGAACAGACAGCGATGGCCATTTGAAGGAGGACAAGAATCGGCGTAATTCTTGTGCCTTTCTTGCTTCAGTGTTACGGCCGTAAATCATCTTAGGCTGTTAAGCGTGCTGCTGCGTTACTTCCCGATCCTGACTTCGAAGTGACCACATGGATTATGCGGATAACGTAGTGATCAGGCAGACCCAACGGTGCTGCTCCACAAGAGACAGTTGCTCAAAATTCTGTCAACGGTGGTGCTGCCAATTGTGTTGAACTGCACCAAGTGTGTGAGACCCATTGAATCGAGATTAGACAGTCGGCGGCGATTGAAATTTGTTGCTGAAGCAATCAGACTGTCTTTCACAGGCAGCCAGTAGAAACCGGGAAAGCGACTCGGTGAATTTTTCCAAGAAATCAGCACGACAGTCAGGGACCAGGAGTGTTGTAGACATTGCCAATTGTAATGTTTTTGTAACGTGACGGGAATCTTCTTCGACAGCAAATGGAGAAACATTCTATCCGCATGAATTGAAAGTGAATTTCACTC